TATACAGTATTCAGTAACAAGAATTGTATTTATGGTACAGTACTGTTCTAGGCAAATCTGACTTGGCTACAAAATATTTCGTATGTTGCCAAACTAAATATTTGCATTATTCAATTGTGGAGGATAGTTTTTGTGTCCAAATATCTTTCATTATACTGCAGCTTTATTATGCATCAATTGTGTCCTCTGTACAGTATTCAACAATATCTGCAAATTTGGATGCTCTCAAAGGCAAGATCATTATACAGGATCATGACACTCTAGACAGGATGGAATTCTGTACTGGTGCAACAGGGATCTTTTCAAACATTCCTGTTGAATCAGACCTTTGCTGGGAGATGGTGGAGGAAAGTTTTATCCGGCCGTAAGTGACTACAGGCATCACGAGGACTGCAAAGTCGAGTTGCTACAACTGACAATGTGCAAATATGGTGTGCAAATACACTTTGTACTTTGAACAAAAAACATTGAGTGTTTATGATTGAAATTTCTGTAGTCATTCAGAACTGGACCGAGCTATTCTCCAGTGTCTCGCTATCACTAGTAGTCCTATGACTTGACAAAGACATTTGAAGACTATAATCCTGCCCTGATGGTCATGATCCTGTTGTTAAATGGGACCTTCAGTGATTTTGTCTTTGGGAGTATTAAAGTAGAATAGCTCAGAGAAGGTACTGTAATTCATAACAAACATTTTCTATATACTGGAAAGTGTATTTACTTACAGAATATGATGATTAACTGAACACAAATTGTTGTAATGGTACTTGACCAAATAAGTAAGGTAATTATCAAAAGTATCAAGCCTACTATTTCTCTTTGGTAAAGAGGATTAAGTTAACATAATAAAGCCGTAGTTAAATACGATATATAATAACTCTCGCAATCATTTGCCAACTTTTTATTTAAATGGCCCTTGTAGCTATCATCGAACACTACAGTCATCGTCAGCACATTATAGCTTATCATAAAGCTTATTTCCACACTCAACATTTCAGTATAGCATTCAGTGTACAGTACCTTAAAATTAAATATAAATTAATACACACAGAAATCACAATAGCGTGATACATCAAATGAACAAATCCACAAGGGCCGTGATGAGGATTCGAACCTACGTCCGAATGGGATGATCTCGGACGTAGGTTCGAATCTTCGTCACGGCCCTTGTGAATTTGTTCATAAATTAATACAATTGCATTCATTCTTATAATTATACAATGGCTGTAACTGCACAGAATCTCAATTACAAGAGTTCAGAATGACTAGTATTTGGGCCTACATTTACCCAGGCCTCAGGAAGCAATAGCAGATCAGTATGGAAGGGGTGAAAATTTTAAGGACGGAAAGTTTGATATGCTAAGTTTATGTTAGACAGAGATAAAGAAATGAGACTCAGGAGAATAAATGAATAAAGACAATAAGAGTGAGGGAAAAGAAAAATGAGAGCAAGAAAAATGCATGCCTATCAATGAATAATGTTGTTCAAGGTACCTGTGTATGATATTCAAGTCTGAAAGAATATGCAAGATTTTTTTTTTAGGGCAGCTTGGCCCTCAACATGTGGTCGTCATCATTAGTTTATCACCTACACCACTGGGATTATAGTCGTTTGACTATTATCATTATTATGGTATTACCCAGTTTGTATACAAGTGATTTTAATTTGGTAATACAGTACTTTAAAACTATATGGATGGAATGGAGCTAACCAAGACCCAAGAAAAAATTCTGCTACTGTATTGTTTTGCAATGAGGTTATCTTCAAATTATGATTTGGTCTTTTTTGAGGGGAGCCTCTTGTGACTCCCTGAAGCTTCTATACTGATAAGGTGCCATCTACTAGGTCACATCAGCCATGGAGTTCTACAGGCCTACCAGGGAAACAATGCCAGAATCTGCACCCCCCACCCCTCACAGAGGTGCAGGAAGCAGTGATGTTTATTTTCGCCACCCACAGGGGAAGGCAGCCAGAAAGTCGGTGAGTCAAAAATCACTTCGGGCTTCAATTGAAACTGAAGCCCTGAAACCTGTCAAAAGAACTCCCCCAACTATATAAAGAAGCGATCACATTCTCTCAGAACTAGTGTGAGCTAGTTTGCCCCACCTCTCCTACTCATTTGGAGGGAAGAGAGGAGTAGGAAGCCCATCATCAGCCAGCATCTCCACCTTCAGTTTTAGGGCAGATGTAGGCACCCCCACCCCCCCAATGACCTGGAAGGGAGGTCGTTTAACATGCAAATCTGTGTAGTGTGATAAATTGTATAGCCTGATTGCCTGTCTAACATGACAGCTAGTCTAGTCTAACAGCCTGTCAAGCCTGGCAGTAAAAGTCTAGCCTGACATTCTGTCTAGCCTAATGAGGTATCTCAGATGTTGAAATACTTGCACCACTCCCACACTTCAACTGTATCACACATTTTTATTCAGACTACTTCCCTCGTCTCACCAGTTTATTGCACATTTATATTCCGACAAACCCAAAACGCATAATAGCCATATCCGGATATGAGACATCCAGAAAGCATGCGGTCATCTGCATATTATTTTATACCTATCTCATCTGCTTTCCAGAGTGTACATTTTGAGAATTTTAAGATGGTCCCAATACTGTAATTTAGGTGTTTTATGGTGTTAATGCATGTATATATTTCCCCCCATTTCCTCTATTTCAGAAATCTCTCCTGCTCTGAAAGGGAAAGTGAGTATCGAGCAGCACTCAAGGCGGGACAGCACCGGCGATTTACATAATTTAGTATTAACATTGTGGTGGGATCCCTGGATTTGAGCATTCTCATAATCTATCCTATTATTTTCCTGCCTGAAGTTATATTTGCTTGGTTATGTTTACTAAATGTCAGATTGTCAGATATCATAATTCCTACATATTTTACATGCTGTTTTCCTTCTATGGGTAGGTTTGTGTCTTGTATTCTGTTCAGTATTTCATTTAAGTTCTTCATATCTACCATACCTAAGTACTTGGAATTTTTTGCTGTTAAGCATTATGTTATTTTCCAATTCCCAAAGACTATTAATATTGGTTTACAGTTACACACAGAAATCACAATAGCGTGATGCATCAAATGAACAAATCCACAACAGCTGTGATGAGGATTCGAACCTACGTCCAAGAGTATCCCAGACGCTGCCTTAATCGACTGAGCTACGACATGGTATAAGAATTGCAACCAGAAATTCTACTGAGGCTGCAGGATCCAAGTAAATTCAGTAGAATTTCTAGTTGCAATTCTTATGCCATGTCGCAGCTCAGTTGATTAAGGCAGCGTCTGGGATGCTCTCGATCGTAGATTCGAATCCTCATCACGGCTCTTGTGGATTTGTTCATTTGATCTACAGTTTTTCAGTGTTTTCTACAAAAGTAATTTTCATGCTGATTTTTGTATTATCTGAAAAGGATGACATGAAGCTGTGGCTTATATCCTTGTCCACATCTAATATGAGAATGAGAAAAGCAGTGAAGCCAGGACTGTGCCCAGGGGTACAGAGCTTTTCACTATTCTTAGATAGAATATTTACAATTCAATACCCTACTTTACTTGTTACTGTATTCCTATTGATCTCATTTTAAGGGCTATCATTACATGGTCACACTTATCAAATGCCTCTGTAAAGTCTGTGTATATAACATCTTCATTTTGCTTTTCTTCTAATGGTTCCATGATTTTGTCATGGTGGTTGAGTATTTGCAAAAGTCAGGATCTTTGCCCTCTAAATTCTTGTTGACCTGGATTGTGAAGTTCATTGTTTTCCATAAAACTGGAGATTTGAGTCCTAATTATGTGTGTGATGTTAGTGCAGCTGGTATATAGTTTTTTGGCAAAGCTTTATTACCTCTCTAAATATTCAGTTAACTGACATTATTCCAAGATCTTTGACCAAGGTAGAACTTCAGGACAATGTTGCCAAGCGAGAACTGTCGAGTAGTGGTAGTTAATTTGTGTGTGCATGGGTTGATGATCAGTTCAGACTCCTGCAGGAGGTGTAACTTTGCACCCTTGACTGGGATTCTGTTTATGGTGTGAGGTGTCCACTGGTCTTATCCAGAGCTACTCAGACACTTTTGTCTACAGGTGATGGGGTTTGGGTTTGTCAGTTATATATGTGGGCTCTAGCACCTGGTCATTCCATCTTAAGACCTTTTAGTAGGTAATTAAATAAGCGTAGTTACAGGATGAGAGTTACGCTCATCTGTAATATCTCCATTGGTCAAACTATTATGTATTAGCGATAAGACCTACCATTAATGTATAATGACACTGTAAATATATAGCTCTTGAAATGGCATTTTCTCTGTAACTAGCTGACATCGTAACTATAAGGTGTGAAGGATAGATGAAATTGTTTACGTAATAATCTAAGATGAGGTCTGATAAAGACCTTTTGTGCCCTCTGTAATGCTTTTTGCGCTACCGCTCACAGGATGAATATGCACAATAAACTAGCTGCCTCTGGCGGCAACAATCAAAATCAAAATCTCATGGTGTCCTGTCTTCCCGGGACACTTTCCGGGAAATTGCTGATGGTTTTGGTCTCTACCACCTTCTCACCTAACTTGTTCCAACTGTCTACAGTACCACTGTTTGCGAAAATTAATTTACTTATATTTCTTTGGCAGCTTTGTTTAGTTTAAATATATAACCTCTTGTTCTTGAAGTTCCAGGTCTCAGGAATTCTTCCCTATCAATTTTATCGATTCCTGTTACTATTTTGTACGTAGTGATCATATCGACTCTTTTTATTCTATCTTCTAGTTTTGGCATATTTAATGCCTAACCCTCTAACCCTCTCCTCATAGCTCTTGTCCTTCAGTTCTGGGAGCCACCTAATGTCATGTCTTTGAACAAACATTTTCCAGTTTGTTGACGTGCTTCTTAAGATATGGGCACCATACAACTGCTGCATATTCTGGCTCTGGTCTAACAAAAGTCGTGAACAATTTTTTGGTATTTCACCATCCATGTACTGTATTTAAAAGCAATTCTGAAGTTAGAAAGTGTAGCGTAGGCTCCTCGCTCAATGTTCTTTGTGTGGTCCTCAGGTGATAGTTTTCTATCTAGAAATCTATCTAGGAAAGCCAGTGTCTGTGCTTCAAGGTGATTGGTTACATTACATACTTGTTAGTACATGAATGAATCCATAGTATTTTTCACCGCAAGTAAAAGCTTCCATTGCACCTGGCATTCTGGTGGATTACGTTCTGTTTGCGCGAGGGTCCAGAGTATTTCTATAACCCTCTGTCTTTGCTGGTATTCATCTGCATTCTCTAAAATCTTTTTTTTCATCTTTCTCAAGAGGGATATATGTTATGTAGATCTTGTACAATTCTACTTTTGACGTCTCCAAGTATTATGATGGAATATGATGCTCAAGGCAGCTTACTCAGAAAATTCTGGAAGATTCAGTTTACCTTGTTCCAGTTAACACAATACCTGTACTGAATGCATTAGTGAACTTTTATTAATAACTATAACCTTTTATCTCTATACTGTTCCACTTTTTCTCTAGGCTGATGTATCCCTCGCCCTATGAAAATACAAAATGAAGATAATGGTATTGTAAAAAAATCTTTTATAAGAGAAACTTATGGATATGTACAGAAGAATGAATTAGTCACCATGTTATTCAATGAATGCTATTTAACTGATCACTGCATGTACAAAACTAAAGCCTAGTTTGAGCATTCACAATCATACCATAGAAGGCATCTTCATACAGCAGAGTAGTATTATTTTCATCTGAAAGTAATTCTAAAGCCTTGTCTGAATGTAAATGATTCTGTTATTAGAACATTGCACAAAGAAATGTAAGTTGTCAGAGCAGTGATAACCGCATTCAAGTACTGTTCACGACAGTAATAAATAATCATAACCAAGAAAACAAGGTCAGAAAATAGCTTTTTAAATGTCGAAATGACTACAACAATCTAAATATTAAAAAATATAGGTTTTTACAATAACTTTGAAGGCTTAAGCTATGTTCACACACACACATCCTCATTTAGTATTGGTGGATAATGTAATGGAGTCATCTGGATGTTGACAAGTTATAAGCACCTGGCGGAATTTGTCGATAAGTTGAAGAAGCGTTGACCTTCTTAAATTAACTCTGTACATCATCTCTTCCAGATGGTGATGACCCCGAAAGTACACACACAATCTGAAGACAATGAGATCATTGTTTTTCTTCATATATTCCTATACTTTAAAACTAGATAAAAATAAAGCACTTAATATAATGAAATGCTCCATTCTGGGTGACAACTCGATAGCTCACCTGAGCTTGTGGCATGGATACACTAAGGACATAAAGATTCCTGAAAGCCTGGATAAGGACCAGGCTTCCACGACTCCTTTCCACCCACCAGCAACAAGCACCTGTCAAGCACCAGCACAAGCAGGACAGCATCTGTCTTGCTTCCTCCAGGAAGCAGGTGATGATTGATGAAGATTAGGCCACCCTAGAGGTGGCACGGGTGTGAATAGCCTGTAAGGGAAGCAGGGCTCCAACACACCAGATAAGTCCATACCTTACCTGAGGGAGGTTGGCACCTCACCTTCATTCTTGCTAGTGAGGTGTCATTCATGGTCACTGTTTAATGGCTAGATGTCTTCCAACACCTTTGCCTATGGTCTGTCTCATCATTCTGAAGCTTCCTCAGGTAAGTTTCCCTTTTCTGTCTATTAAATCTACAATAAATTGGTGCCAAGGAGAAAATACCTGGGGAGCTACCGAGGTCTGAAAGCTTAGAAATACCTGTAGCGTTTAGTGAAACAAAATGCCTTTAATTCCTGTTTTACCCAATATTGCTTTGGCAAGCTGGGCTACCTATCCCTACCCTGTTCAGACAATAGGGGCTGCCATCTAGTAACATTAGATATGGTTGGTTAATGGATTATTAGAGTGTTTAGAGCAATTCTTAGCAATTTTTGAGTTTCCAAGGATCATTTGGAAGGAATAGTGCCCATACTACTCCTGCAACACAGCATGGCTTCAATGCACACAAATAATATCAGAAGAGAAGCCAGTGAAAATGCTTCAATAACAAGAGGATAGACCACTCACACACCAGGAAAACACAGGTCAGTTCTTGTGCCTTTTCATTAGGTCCAGATTCCTAAAACAAGTCACAAACAAAGTTGTTTGTGCATTTTACTGTACAGTACCGGTACATGCTCAACAAAATCTCTCTCAAATAAATATGTATTACTTTGAATATCAGCAACATTATCAGCAATCAGGATTTGTCAATATCAGTAAGATGGGCAAATCAGACAAATATGTGAAAAATACTATTTGATAGAGATAACTTTATGTGAAGAACCAACAATCCGGATTTCATTGCATCTCATTCCAAAATCTTGATTATTTTTTTGATAGACATTTGCATTTTGGAGGGTTGAACTGGTGGGTGAATTTGGTCTGTTGTTCAGAGATACTGTATTCATTATAGGGAGGGAGCACAATAAAGAAAGTGTTACAACAAAGCAGTGATGCTGGAAAATACAACCAGCTTTTAGGAGTCTCGATATTGAATGGCTAGAATCTTGATACTGATACTGTGAAAAAATTTGAAGTAAGAATAGAAAAAAGAAAAGAAAGGAAGGCAGAACTGTAGTTGAAGAGCCTAAAATCATATCTCATGTTTCTGTTGTGTGAGGAATTAGGAAGCTTGGCTGTTTAACCCTTAAGCTGCTAGGAAGTCCTTCAGGCTTTAACACCCCCTTGCACAAGAAAAAATCTAAAATTTTTTTGTCTTCTAAAAATGTTCTTTTCTGTTCCCTGAGCACGGGAAAACAAAACAAAAATTGTTGGCGACATATTTTAGCCACAATAGGCTGAGAAAGTCTAGCAAAATGTAGGCTTTGACAGAGCAAGCGTCAAAGGCAGTCAGCTCCACCCGAGCTGTCAGGCGGGAGTTGCCACAAGGATATTATTACCTAATTATTTCAATGTCTTTGATTGATTTTTCTTAGTTTTTTGCAGTCATATTATTCAACAGTGTGTCGTGTAATATAGTGTATTTATATAATAAAATGTGTGAACCATTGCTATTCTCAAAATTATGGTGTGTATACAGGTATTAGTGATTCAATTATTATATTTATAAAAAAATAAACAAATAATTTTGCTGTTATATATAACCTGTGTATATAGTGTAATAAGCATCTGCATGTTTTGTTCACAATAACGAACACTAAGTTGGTATGGCGAGTCAAAAAGCAACAAGGAGTGGCAGCCACACCAGCCAGCCAGCCACTCGCCACAACTCCCTCCCTCAACAACACATCACTAGCCAACATTCTCCTTCCACCACACTGTTTTTGCTTTTATTCACCACTATATACAGATGTCATATACAAGTAACTACATGTTTTATTCACCATAACTGTACAACTAAGCTGATATGATGGGTTCAGGCATTAAGAGATGTTGCCCCACACACAAGATCCAAGAGTCAATGCTCGATCCTGCAGACACAACTAGGTGAGTACAACTAGGTGAGTACACATCTGGCGGCTGCCTCCCTCACTGGTTTAAGGCCAGACGCACTAAGATTTCTCCTCCAACAATAATGTGATGATGCCACCTCTGTCACCCAAATGGCTCCTCCCAACATACTCCTTTTGCTGTTATTACACTAATACACACGTTATATATAAGTACTGTATCTACATTTGTGTTCACCATAGAGAACCACCGAGCTGGTATGGCAAGTGCAGACAACAGGTGGCCACACAGATTCAGCAGACGACGTTACCTCCCTCCCTCCCTCAGCATTACTTCTCCCACACAGCGCTACTTATCACAATATTCCTGCTATTATCACAATCCTGGTAATTTTTATCACAGTCAGGGGTCTTCTGTAATACTGTCATTGCTAAATAATAGTAGTTACATATTTATTTTGAGATTTTTAGGCAATGCTGTGATCACAAGCTGAACAGCAGTGCCGTTAGCTCATGCTGCACGCACCAGCCTTGGTTGCTCACACAGTACTGTGGCTCTCACACCGGAGAATGTTGCCCACGTTTTTTTTAAACATGGCATCTGTTTACAAGAGCCCTAAGGAAGCTGATGTGAACCCCGTGTAGCCGCGGGCTATTTGAATTGTGGCCAGCACCCTACGTTGTATATGTATGCCATGCACATGGTGGGACATGTTACTCCTGTCGTATATATATATGCCATGCGCAGTTTAAGGATTAACTGAACATTTCTAATTTACCTTCTAAAATGTATTTTCTATTGTTTGTGGGCAAGTGCCCCTCTTCCCAATAAGAGCGGATTATGTGAAATGTACACACAGTTAAAAAAAAATTATTAGAAAAATTCTTTGTAAAAAGAAAAAAAGGCAACACATACTTTGCAAAGAGTTTGAGATCTTCTGGGTTACGTGCTGCTTCCACCCTCATCACCATATCTTTCTCAACAGGAGATAATACTGCATCCAGAAGATGAACAGAATCTTCAGGTGTGGTACTAAGGTTTATTCCTGGACTAGGGCTTCTCTCATCACTACATACTGTATAATAGAGTATTTATTTAGCACATAATATATCAGCAGAGATTTTTTACAGAATTTTACATGTTCTTAATCCCCGAAGACTAGAGAGCATTTAAAAAATATAGATTTCTCATTAAATATTAAAATGTATTAATATAATAATTGTAAATTACTGTATAAAATAAATTAGACAATACAAATAATATTCTCACCAGAGCCCAAATCACTTTCAGAGGCGGGTTGACTAAGCTGCACCACTGCATTATGGAGAGCATCACGAGTTATGTCCGGATGGTTATTACACTGAGAATGGGGTGCCAGAAATGATGGCTCGCTAGAGAGCGGAGGTGGCTCATGGACAGTTGGTGTTGGGATGCTGGTGCTAGCCGGAGAACTGGTCCCATGGCTTCCTAACTGACATGCTCCTCCAGTCTCTCGTCCCCCTGCACGCCCTCCATCACCATCATAAGACGGAGGAGCCAGATACACGTAAGTATGTAATTGTTGCAGCAGCCCATGTGTCAAGAGCCACAATATCTGCTGCACTTGTTCTTGCTGAAAGAAGTAGAACTTAAAAAAATATGGTTTAATATGGTTTTTTTTTCTAAAATAATCAATTATGCATGATGCATTGCAAATTCACACACTATTGTTAAAAGTGATGCTCCAATTGTAATTACTCAGGTAGACTATAATAAAGTTTACACAATGAAATCACATTAACATGATTTATGAGAAAATGAGAAAATCTTTTAGAGCAGGGCGGATTGAATTGAACCCACATTCTGGATCATCCTTCCTATCTTGAGAGAATTTCGGGGATTAGTGTCCCCACGGCCCAGTCCTCGACTAGGCCTCCTGTTTGTTACACACCCCTAGGAAGCAACCCGTAGCAGCTGTCTAACTCCCAGGTACCTATTTACTGCTAGGTGAACAGGGGCTTCAAGGGTGAAATAAATTCTGCCTATTTGTTTCCGCCTCCACCGGGGATTGAACCCGGAACCTCAGGACTACGAATCCAAAGTGCTGTCCACTCGGCTGTCAGGCACCCTGGATGCACATCTCATCCACAGGCCACAATAAGCCCAAAAGTAACACAACTTGGAGTCTGCCCGAATTCACTAAGGATTCCTAGCGAGTTCAGGTGAGCTCCAGGATGTATTGTTACTTTTAATCATATTATGGCCCATGGGTAAGGCATGCATCTGGGGGTGACCCAGAATGCTAGTTCAATTCCACCATCCTGCTCAAAGAAAACAAAATTGTAATAAACTTTATTAGTATAAGAGAAATGATTGTAATTTTTAGTTACCTGCTGATGAGGTGAAGTTATGGGATGACATTTGTCACTGAGAGATGTAGGTAAGGAAAATTCGGCCATAACAGCGTGGAGAGAAGAACCCGGAAACTGCTCACTAAAGTTCTCAGCTAGCTGGCTATTTCTAGTGGTAAGAAAGAAATTAATACTACTGTATACTGTAAACTTGTGGTTTTATAAAGGAGATATGAATCATGGCTACCAACAGTCTCATTTTATTCTCAGAACTTTAACATTAGTATTAATCTCATTAATATTAAATTACGAAAGAAAATTCAACACTAAGAAATTTTAGGGTGTGTTAAAGTCATTAAATGTATTTCCAAACAGATTCTTTGATTCTTTTCATGTTTAATTTAGAACAAAATCTAGCACTGAATGTAATGTAATGTTTCTAAAATATACATTGTATTTGCTCTAGTTTGTTGCATCTTACACAATATACTTACATAATGGTTGGAGCATTTGGGGAGAGAGCATACACATTGGTACTGCAGACAGGATATATTATGGTGGCCTTGCCCCAGTACACCAGATGACCCACCAGCTGGAAGCACCAAAGTGTTGTGCAATTCACTATTATATCTGCCTTAGTGATATGTTTGTAATTAAATGTTGCTCATACACACAAACATACAATTACTGCCTCATAATCTTGCAAGGCAAAATTAGTTAGTTGAACCAAGAGCACAAGACACACTATAACGACTCGCTTTGTGTGAATTATAGAAACCAGCACAGTACAGTACAGTACTTGGTCAACCCTGTCTGACCAAGAAGTTACCTGAATACTGTATACCCAAGGGCCTCCATCTCTAGTGGCATCAAAATGAACAGAAAACCCAGTGTTCAGAGCATTATCAGCCATTATTAGCTACAACAAGAGGTTGTTGTTGTAGCCAGTAATGTTCAGAGCATTACTGGCTATATTGCACCATTCACATAGTATATTACACATGTTGAGACCCCACACCTCCTTAAATGAATCACAACCACTGAACACAGGCTCCTGATCCTCTGTACAATACTGAATGGCTTAAGTATTTAAAAATAAAAATTAATAAAGCATTAAAATGTACACCAGTGATGCAATTAATCATGTAACAGACACTGACCTATACTTATGGATATGGAATATATTAATTAGAATGAAATATACTATTCTGGGATATGTTCCTGCTGAAAATCCAATTCCTGGGAGACCCAGTGGTTCCATGACACCCTCCCTCCAGGTCATCGGAGGTTGATTACATCTACCATAGACCTGAAGGTGGAGACACTGGCTGACTAGGAGTTGCCTCCCTTTTCCCAAATGAGTGGAGGAGGCGGGGAAGAACGAGCTTGTGCTAATTTCAAGAGATTTTGATCATTTGTTTACATTGTTGAAAATATTCTTTCAGCAGTTCTCGAGATTGCAGTCTCGTTTTGAAGCCAGCAGTGGTTCGTTTTTGTCTCGCTGATTTTCTGGGTGGGTGCCTTGCCCAGCGGTGACATAAATGTCACCAAGACCTGCACCTCTGTTGAGGGGGGGCTAGGTTCTGGCTCTGGTCTCCAGTAGACCTATAGAACTCCACAGCTGATGCGACCTAGTAGATGGTACACTATCAGTGACATTAGCTTTAGGAAGCCACATGCGGCTCCCTCCAGATGCCATGTCCACAGTCCAAACAGAGGAAAGACTTGCAATAGACAAGATTCCAACATAAAAGCAGAACAGAGTTTTTAACCACTCAGGTGGCCCCACCTGAAGTTCAGCTGTGGGAAGATTAATCCAGAGCAGTTCTTGACAGACAAAATCCTGATAGGGACAGCAAACTCAAGCAGAGCCAACCTGTCCTAAAGGAAAGATGCACTGGTTGCAGCAACAAGATATCCTCAAGATAAAAAAAGAACATGCCAAAAAACACTAAAGTTCAGAAGTGAAAATGCACATAGAACTCCACATAAGCCCGAGATTTCATGAAGCCGAGTTGTACAAGTCACTGTGTTGCTTCACCCAACCACCAAACATCGGGAAGCACAAGACGTGTAACAAGACATGTAACCCGTCACCAGGTCTACTGCCCTCCAATGGCAGTCTAAGGAAGAGACCTGGCCGCCAAGGCGAGAGTGCTTAGCTATTCTTAACATTCTAATAGGACACCTGCCAATGAAGGCGAGGGATGCTCATGGTCAGAAAACAAATAAGAAGTACACCTACTCAGCTAAGGCAAGACCTGGTTGTTAAAGAGGACAGTGCCCATCTGCACCATACAAGTGAGAAATAAACACCCGCAACTTTGAGCAAAGCCAGACAGGGTTATAAAGAAATGGTATGGTTGAGAGAGCTAAGCCATAACTGCACACACACACTGGCACTAAAATGCAAGAAGAGACTGGAAAGAATCAAGGGCATACAGGCTTGTAACCACACTTATGAATCAAATATACAGTACAGTAGTTACTACTTTACTGTAAAAATACAGTGCCGTACAATAGTTACTATTTTATTGTAAAAATACAGTACAGTAGTTACTACTTTACTGTAAAAATACAGTACAGTAGTTATACTGTAATGACTACTGGAGCATAGATAAAATACACATGGCCAACACTACACGGAAAAGCAATGTTTCAAAATAAAAATATCCTAACTTAACTGAAAATTGGTCACAGTCTGCAGACTAAACACTGGACAACAGTGAGCCGGACCTGCTCAGTGAACTCTGGAGAGGTCATGATGCTGCCACGTGTGTGTGGCAGTCAATACGGCTAATCAGGCAACCCAGCTGGTGGTAGTTTGTGAAAAGGCTTGTTTGGTGGTCACCTGTGATGCCCGACAAGGCACAGAAAAGGTTTTAATCGTTACGACTTGATCTCTGACGGTCATTTCCAGGTTTGATTTACTCATAGCTCCAATGAAAACTTCAGCACACGTATGAACCTACATTGATGCTTGAGGATTCTGTGTAGCACACTACTGCTTGTTGCCTCTGTCAGACTATACATGAGCCATGCCCAAGAGCACAGTGGGATCATAAATACGAGAGCAACCTAATGTCACAGCTAATAATAAAATATGTGCATAAATAAATTAAAGCATACATGTATTAGAAAGCATATCATTTAAATCAACAGCTTTCACAGAACTTTCTAACAAAAGAAATTCAGTGAAAAGTACAGTACAGCTTTCCAAACACTTTTTCAGATATTATTGACCCCATTATCCATCACATCTGATGTTGGAGTAACTGTCTACTACTTGCCTAGTCACTACATACCATTAAGACCTGGGTTAGAGTAAGATCAGCATCAGCAGCTAGTGTGAAGAAGGGAGTGAGATGCGACTCTTCCACATGAAGGAGTCGCCAGAGTGCCTGCGAAGCATCCGGTGAGAGGGTGTGTAAAAGTTCTGAGCGCTCCACCAACAGGAGCAATGTGTGATAAGGCTTCAAGGTTTGCAGGCCTCTCAACAACCCTTCACACTGTAAACAACAAAACAAGATACAGTATAGGGTAAGTTACAATAAATTGCGTGCTTACAGATGCAGGCAACTCGGGTTGCTGCACAAGTTACAGGGTGAGGTATATTTTGTATTCAGGTTACAAGCTATTAACACGCTATATGCGGAAATATTTGACAGCAGCATCTAACATTCCTCAAGAGAAAGTGATGTGGCTTGTGTAGTATCCTATAATGCTAACAATACATATAACATATAAAGGTCATAAGTAATACTTCACTTTGAAAATAAATTCATTGTCATATATCATCAAATCTCAGTTGAAATAACGCATAGGATTATCCAAATAATAATTTTCATCTGTTACATTTACACTTACAAGGAGCAAATATAGAAGTATCTGTACAGTAAACACATTTATTTTAATCTGATTTTCAAAATGCATCGTAAAAATATTTTATGGTCACTAAGAATTAAATGAAGAATATTTTACTAATAAAACTTACATCAACTGGCCGTCCATTGGCTAAACTGTGATGAACCTTCTGAGGTAAACAAAAGCTAACTTCTATCCATTTGTTGAGTCGAAGCTGAACAATACCTGACCCACACAACCTGATGGACAACAAAAGTTTTAAATTGTGGATCAAGCATTATTGTACATTCCCTTTACACTATACCAATAACCCTCAAAGGTCAGTTATCATCATAAGTTGATCCTCGGGCCAATGTGGTTATCGTAATTTACCGATTTTGGCCATTATTGGCCGGATTTTATACGAATGCTGTTAATATGGTTATAACACATCTATATGGATGTAATGATATTAACCAAGAACCATGAACAATTATACTATAATTTTTAATTGCTAGAGTATATGACATTATGTTAACATAAATAGCATCAACTAAATCAACTTTTATTGTACTTCTTTCTCATAACCCATTATAATACACATTTTAATAAGTTATTTAGAACCATAATGGCTATCCAAACCCCTGGCTATGCAACACAATTTTCGACATTTATGGATTAGTGTTTTCACTTGTTCATAACATTGCCACTCTCAGGAAAATGCTCAAGAACTTAACAGGGAAGGAAACCCTGACTGGGCAGAGGCGACACCAGCAAGCACCTAGAGACGTCATCTCTAGATGTATGCACCCTTGAGATGAACGGTTAATCAAAAGCCCACACAAGAAGCAAGGCTTGTAAAAAAATGCACATGAAGCAAGTACGAAAATATAGAACTAGTTCACAAACAAATGGGTCCTACAGGACAGTGTCCAAGGAAGGCTGTCACTTATCTGAATAATGAGGATTGTAAGAGTGACATGTTGATATGTCACACCAGGCTAAATGACTGATGTGCGAGTTGTGGGCATCGAGTAGCTAGGTGTGTAGCCACCTGGTGGCATGCACCTGTAACTAGCATAACTCATTTTCCGTGTTGTTTCCCTTATTCTTGTCTGTATTGTCTCGTTCTACCTTTCTGGTGGTCTTTTCTTGGCCCAAATAACCATGTATCCTCAGCTTACTACACCTCTTTAGAGGGCAGGTTTTGGCCACTGGTCCCAAGTAGGCTTACAATGACTCACAAGGGCCTGGTGTGGATGAAATTAGGTAGAGCTATCCCTGTTGCAGTAACAGGGAGCCTGCATAGGCACCCTCCCAGAAAAATACATATTCTGTAAATGTCTCTTGTGCACTACTTCCTAGGGTATCATTTACAAATTAGAATGCTGGGAGTATCTCCTGATATCAGGGCATTTGCATAGAAATTTAAGTGCAGCTATGTTCAATAATTTTCCTGATGTTAACTAAGGTCTCACTGATGCTTGTAAATACTGAAACTGTAAACTGCATTGCCCATTGCAACAGGGAGCTTCCTGACATCACCATAACATAAGTGTTAAAGAATTCAAGCCAATATGTAAAAGCCCTCTCCAGTGGGTGCATGGAACTGTCAAAACCCTGTGAAAACTACAAGGTATTCCTACTGGTTATGGCTAATAAATGGTTAGTCACCAAAATGTAAATAAAATCCCTTTTCTTTCAAACAAATGGTAAATCTCCTTGACATAAAATTTAATACAGACAGCAAGTCACAATAACGGGGCTGAAAATTAAGACACCCAACCCATACATGGTTACTTCCCCAAACAAAGTGAATGAATACTCTCAAGAATAAATTAAATGTAAAATGTCCATAATAAAGATCCAGCCAAAAACATCTGCCAGAGCAGATAAGGTACTGAAACAGGGAACCATGATATCAATACAATCAGAATCTTACTGATGTCGCAGACTGCTGACACTCACTCTTCATAAGCTTGTCTGAGATGTCGAGCAAGGAGGCTTCGGTTCAAGATTAACTGAAATGGAGAAACCTGGCCATCTTCTGGTAGCTGGGATGCCTGCAGAACAATAAATTGTCAAAATACCAACAAGAACATTCCTTCTATTTGTTTCTGAAATTTAATTTAACTTCACTAACATATGATACCCATAAACAAATGATGTGTAATATACAATACTGTATGAGCTCGCTTATCCGGATTCCGCTAAACTGGACGACTGGGTTATCCAGCCAAAATCACATCTGGTTAATTTTCTTGTAAAACTTTACAATATCCAGTTATCCGGATAGTATTCTGGATAACTGGAGGTTTGGCCGGATATAGCAGATAGGCATAGCATTGAAATCAAGTTCAGATAACGTTCTGGCAAAACTTCACTATATCCGGACAGAAATTCGGATAACCGGAGATTAGGTTACATAAATGTTCAAGGATTACACATTTCAAGATCTACAGTATCAAACACGAAGACAAACTACAATAAGGTAAGCTTTAATTTCCTCTTTAAGTTATATTTTTTATTTATAGTGTGTGCAGAATTTCACATTATATTGGTCGAGTTAAAAAAAATTGAATACGGTAATTTTTAGAATTACCCTGTAAGAATTCGGCTTATCCAAATATCTAGTTTATCCGGTGTGGGGTACTTCCCTTACACTCTGGATAAGTGAGCTTAAACATTATAAATTATAAAATGGATAAACTTAAAATGGCATATGAGTGAACTATGTATGTGCCATGGGAGCTGAGGTACAGCCTCGTGAAATAAGGCATGATCTAGGAAAACTGACCTGTTTGGCAAAATTCGAGGTGCTTATCTCTGGAACCGTTTTAGCTACAGATGCAAGGCAAGTCATTCAATTTCTCTCGCCGAGATCCATACGTGTGCCAAATGGCATCAAAATCACAGATGGTACCAGAAACCACCCGAGTGAAGCGACATGGTATTGTTTTCCAGCCTTGAGTAACACAATATCCTTTTTGGTTTTAACAAACACTTATTATATAAATACAGTATTGGTAATAATTTCAAATAAACTATTTGTACTACCTCATCATGAGCTGCAAGCATGATCTTGGCTTCAGACGAGAGAAACTGGCAGCGGTACTCCTCATGCCGCAGGGCCAAACCAAGCCTCATGCTTAGGTCATGGTAACAATTCACAACATCATGGTTCAGTGTTGCCTGAAAATGAGGATGGAATAGTTATATCAGATTATATGAAAAAAATACTATTCTTGAAAACCACAACAGTGAACTAGAGTATTGCTCAAACAGAAAAGATTTCTTTTCTTCTGTTGTGCTCTGTATCTAAATTTAAAATTAATTGTGATTTTATACCAAATATATAATTATGATTTTATTCTTGAATACAGCCACCCAAGAATATTTGAAAGATGGTACTCTTCTCTTGCCAAGCAAGCATGTGAGTCTGACAGTACCCTAGCCAAGCCCCTAAGAAAAGTGAGAGGTTGTCAAGCCAGCAAGGATGAGCCTGAAACTATACAATGCAGCCAATAATTTGAGACAAACCCATAGTCAAGAGAGAGGCCAGGTTCATCATCAAAATGAAGTGTGCTTTTGCAGGAATTACTGAAACTAGTCTATATGAGCCAATGAAGGTGAAACACGGGAAGATGAAGCACCTCCAGAAATAGGACGACTCAGAGGCACTGAACAGGACCTGGAATCAAACTTGAGAAGATGCAGCCAAGTGATCACACTCATACATAGAGATGGAAATTCTTTCCCTGAATCTTCTCCTGGAGCAAAAGACCCTCCGAAGAGGACACAGTATAAAAAGGGTCGAAGGGTACCCAAGGACTCTCCTGAGGCTCCCTTTCAACCTCAAAATCCTGCCACAAAGACACTCTGGCAGAGCCATAGTCCTCGGCTAATACCTGTGACAGAAAGAAGCCCTCACAATGAGAAGGTCTGGAGTGGGGAGGCAGTGCAAAGGCAAATGCCCTGAAACCCCAGTGGGACCAGAAGGCTCAACTGCTTCCACCATCGAAGAGGATTGAACCCCCCCCCCCCATTAGGGGCTTCCCCAGAAACTCAGACTAATCAAAGTACAGTACCTTACATTGAATTGGGTGTTATCCTTTATATAATGAAAGTATGTATTGCGAGACAAATCAGGCATTATTTAAGGCATTATGAAAGTAATAAAAGAAGAGTTGAGTGTGCATCCAGTCAAAACAATGTAGCTTGTTTACAGTAACATGAAAAGCACAATATGGTACTGCAAATCCTTTGGAACTGACGGTTGCAGGCAAGTTATATTCATCTGCGCATATTGCATTTACAGAACCTAATTCTCAGTACTTTATGAATATAGTATCTGGCAATCCACAGCTCATATAAACATTTTTATAAATGTTCAAAACGAGAGGTAAAGGCTTTTAATTAAAGTTCCATTTAAATTTTAGAGTCACTAATGCAGAAATTAAAGAAAAATAACTGTAATCATTGGAGATTATATTCACCTTCAACGCAAAGACTATGTTGAAAAGAATGATTGTAGAGGATTTTCTCTTGTCATGTGGCTGGGAGTGTGTCGTAGAGGGATCAAGACGAACAGGGTGACCAACAAATCTCACATCGTTAACTTTTAATTCAAATTTACTATCACAAAGTTCACTCTTCACGGCAAAAAGATTTGACATTACCTAGAGAAGGAAAGACATGAATTAAGTAACATTCAGAGAGTGCTATCATTAATACAATTTACTATTCAAGGATGATATTATACTGCACTGCAATATGAAGTAAATACAGCACATGAGGGAACTTAATAGCTACTAGTACATCTATAAAAATTCATTTAAAGTTAATACACACATACCTTATCACTAAAACCAACAAGTTTTCCATTGGAAATGTTTGATGTGTGGGCCACCAGTGATGTAAGTTTGTTCCCCTCATTAATCAGAGAATAAGGGTTAGGTCTTTTATCTGTAAAGATAAAAAAGCTATTACGAGTACAATCATTACCAAGAAGCATGTACATACAGTACATCCATTCCTTAACTTTTCTAATATGATTTGACAATTTGCTGATTATTAGTATTTAAATATTTGTCAAGTTTTAGAATGTTAAAATTAGTGTCTTAAAATTAAATTACCTTGTTTCAACAAGGTATGGCATGTAAACTGACCTTCATGATGGTCGATAAGATTAACAATGGCTACAGAAGCTGCATCTCTAAAAAGCACCGCTGTAATCATGGAAAAAAAAATTTCAACACAACATATTCATTCTTTCAATACATTGCATACTCATTATCAATTGCATAATGAGTATGCAATTGCTTAAAACATACTCTACCTATAATGCATTTATTAATTTGCTCAGATATCCTGACTGAAACTTAAACAAAAACTTCCAAATCAAAATAAAAGCTTTGAATAAATTTTCATATTAAAAAACTAGCATTGAATGTAATGAAACAACTTTTTCTGTTAGAATCCTCAGTGCCTCCCTGACACTGTCTCGCTGGCTGAGATGGTTTCCCACTACTGAGTCACATAATTCATAGGAGTCCCATTTGGCTTACTGGGAACCAGAGCTAGAACCTGACATCCCTTTACAGAAGTGCAGAGCTGGAGATTGTTGTGATCACCCACACTGGGAAAGCAATAAAGCAATACAGACAACCCCTGCAAGGTTCGTTCACAGAAAACGAAGCATCAAAATAGCCAAACGACTTTGCAAACGATTCATTCAAAACAAATGGTTAACTCTATTAGCTCGAATCCCTAGTGCAAAGTTAAGAGGCCAGATGTTTGGGGCTAGCCTCATTCAACTTTGCAGTGAATGGTCAAGGGTATAGGTAGTATTACATCCTTGCTGGTGAATGACAATGGGTGTTGAAGATGTGCGGTACCTCTCGTGTCCATAACGAACCACTATATGAGTTCAGACTGACTCCAATCTGCATACAGTGCTTTATATTACAAGCATCTCCTCAACTTGGCCAAACTGACCAATACCTAGCAGGTTGGGAAGAGATATTTACTGTAATTAGTGGATGTAGGATTAATGTAGAACTTCTAGGAATGTGGAACTCTTTGAGATAGGTTATGAGGATTTAACAGGAACATGTAATTGCTTGCACTGAACTAATGATAGTATAGAGCAAGTATATTACTGTCTGCATATAGAGCAAGTATATTACTGTCTGCATATAGAGCAAGTATATTACTGTCTGCATATAGAGCAAGTATATTACTGTCTGCATATAGAGCAAGTATATTACTGTCTGCATATAGAGCAAGTATATTACTTCTAAATAAAGTTGCTACAACTCTATCTGTAGTATTATTATATCTACTGTACAGTACTGTATTTCTAAATACTTAAGAATCAAATTAAAGTAGTCTGACAATTATCAATAAGCATCACTTAAAAAAAATATAAACTATTTATCATTTACTTATATCAGCTTTTCATACAGCATTATTACCAAAAACAAATAAAAACCATTAACTCATAATCTTAGCTATGCCAGCAACGCTGCATGAAATTGATGGCTTTATAATATATAAAAATACTCTATCAACTAAGTAGCATCTGTAATCTGAGCCATTATATATAATAAATACACAATTATTATTGAGGGAGGCATGTTTTAGGGTATTAAAAGTATCAACACAAGACAGAACACGAAACAATGGGTATAAATTGGATAAGTTTAGTTTTAGGAAAGACGTGGGTAAATACTGGTTTGGTAACAGGGTTGTTGATTTGTGGAACCAATTACAGCGTAACGTGGTGGAGGTGGGGTCCCTCGATTGTTTCAAGCGTGGGTTGGACATGTATATGAGTGGGATTGGGTGGTTTTAAGTACGAGCTGCCTCGTATGGGCCAATAGGCGTTCTGCAGTTACCTTTGTTCTTATGTTGAACTAAGCGCAGAGATTTCCGCGTGCTGGCCGAATATTCCACTCAGCTACCAACCAATGTACCAAATCATGCAACTTACTCTTGGCTTTAGTCTCCAGTGTGGTGTCAACAGAATACGGGTATCGAAAAAGCAACCTGTCTCCCCTACTGCCATTCTTAACCAATATAATACACAGCGGGTTGACATCCATGGCAGGTGTTGTTATTGTCCAGGGGCTAGGGGCACCTACAGCACCAGCTTTACGTGAAAGGAAAACGTGCTCAATTATTTCTGTCTCACCCGGAAATCGAGCCCGGAATTCCCGATTGTAAATCGAGAATGAAACCAACTTTACTACGATAAATAATAATTAATAATAATAATAATAATAATAATAATAATAATAATATTAATTATTATTATTATTATTTCAATGAGCCCGAGATCACCGAGTCGAAAACGAAACTAACTGTATTAAGATAATAAATAATAATAATAATTTTAATGATTTTATAAAAAATAAATATTCTTCCTATGAATTTTTTTAATCTGATTCTCTGTAATATTTTGAATAAATTCAATATTATTTAATAATATAATTGTTTATATACAAAATCTCCGTTTTTGACGAGTCGTAATAACTGATAATCCGGATTCTCAGACCACGAACTTGTCTTGTGTACAAACACTGGCTAGAAGCTGCCTTGGTCATCGGCGCCCTTCATACCAACAACAAGAAGCAGAAGCTCCATTACTTGAGAATATTCCTACAAACAGGAAGGACTGCAGTTAGGACTCTTTAGGTAAACTACAAAAAGGTCTTAGGGTTCACCGTCGAAGTTATTGATCTTGAAGTTAGGTATTTTATAAGAACATAAGATGAAAGATAACTGCAGAAGGCCTATTGGCCCATACGAGGCAGCTCCTATTGGTCCATATCATTGGTGAGGTTAGTTATTAGGCATTGGTATATTTGTATCTTACCATTAGATATTAGGTTGCTTATTACGTAAGGTTAGAGTTCTGAAATGTGCAGATTTAGATACAGTAATAAATATATTTATATTAACAAATTATTTATTTCAGATTGTTATAATTGATGATGGCATTACCTGTAAGTGTCCCCCATGTTGGGGAAACTATTGAGTCAGCTCTGAAGAATCAGATAGTTCCTGATCAAGAGTTTCTACTCCAGGGTAAGTTTTCGCTATTTTATTATAAATTTTTAATTTTTTTTTTTTCAGTTGTATCCCTTGTTAATAGGCTAACATTTATATACTGTATATGGCAATTTGTGATTAATATACTGTAATTATATGGAGTATTAAACTGGCTAATTTGAACAATCCTTTTTATCTAAAATATGGTTTGACATTTAAAAAAGAATACTTAAGGATTATGAATACTAATTGATCATGACTCACTACTTCATGATGAAAAAGGGTAAGTGGGATGTAAGAAATTTTTTAAACTACATGATACCCACACTGTTAATTCTTGAAGTATTTTTACTGTATAGTTTAGAATTGACAATGCCTCCTAGCCATGCAGAGAGCCAGATTCTGGTCCTGGTTGTTTGTTGTTTCTTGCAACAAAATGTCCATGTAGCACGGCTGATAGTGAGCCCATAAATGGTCCTGGTTTACAGCTGCCTTAAGTGGGTCATACTTGGGTGTAGTGGTGAATATTCATTGGTTCTTTTTTTGCTATTGTCTGTTATATGCAGACCTGCTATTTAAGAAAGAATTTTGGATACAATTATAGCATTATTTGTCTTCACTCACAGGTTCAGTGTTGGACACATCACTCATTGTTGTCATCGACCGTCTTCGTGGGCTGTGTGACAATGCAGACATACCTCCAGAAACCTTTCATGATCATGAAGTGGTTTACATTCTTAAGGATTTTAATGGTACGAGAAATTACGATTAAAATCTACATCACAAAATAATTTAAACTTAATCTTTCATGTTTGATTTGAAGCTGATCACTCTCCTAGGATCTAGGACAAAATTTAAAAATTTTTAATAGTCTTTGGTGTGTGTAATTACCTAAGTATAGTTACAGGATGAGAGCTACTATGCTTGTGGTATCCCATCTTCCCAGCACTCTTTGTCATATAACGATTTGAAACTACTGATGGTTTTGATATGTGTGTTTACTATTTGTTTTTGCCTGCAGATTAGAGCTATTTGCCCTTGGACCCAGCCTTTCTAACCAATAAATTTTTCCTCTATTATATTACTACATATATTTCTCTCTAACACACATGCACAAACATACACATCCTCAGGAAGCAGCCTATAGCAGCTGTAACTCCCAGGTGCCTATTTACTGCTAGGTGAACAGGACATCAGGGTGAAAGAAACTGCACATTTGTTTCTGCCTTGTCCGGAAATCGAACTCGGGGCCTTAGGTCTACGACCCCCGAGGACTGTCCACTCAGCCGCGAGGCCCTTCATACTTGTTCATTTCTATAAAGTTTTGAGAATTTGGAAGCATTTCGTTAATCATTTGAAATTTTACTTTGTGCCTAAAACTTAACATTGATGCCTTTCAGCTCCTTCAACCCCTGGACCTGCAGCACAAGGTGTCATGCTGCGAGTGAGACGTGCAGTAGACCATCCGGAGCTGCCTTTTCAACTTCGTTACATTGGATATCCAGAAATCGGTATGGTACATGTCTTTGATGAAATTTCACAACTTTATATTTTTAGCTTGATATGTGCTACAAATCTGTAGTTAAACTGCTAGAAATTGGCTAATTAGTTTGTTATTGATTGTGTTTTCAGGTGATTATCCAGCAATACTTCGCAATTGCTTGGATGTTCCTGTCAGTAATAATGTGTGTGACTTTCTTCAAGAACTTGGAGCTAAGGTAATAAGATACTTTTCAGGAATACATTTCCAAGTTTTTCTTTGAAATATTGTGGTACCCTATTCAATTAAGTTATGGTCTCATTAACAGTTTCAGAATAACATTTCTGGCACCTCTGGCCTAAACTGACCTACACTAAATGATATAATAGTACAAGAATACAAAAATTAAATTGCAAATACAGTAATACTATCTGCTGGAAATTACCGATACTGTACTTTATTTGACGATCAGTATGGCACCATCCAAAATTCAAATTTTTCTCTGATAAATACAGTACGTAATTTATTTTGGAAAGGTGATCTAGTAGGCAAATTTGGTCTGTTATGTAGAGCAGGCATGTCAAACATGCGGCCCTTTGCAAGCACACCTGCAGTCTGCAAAAAGGATACAGTACTGTACTGTAATTTTTATTTATTTTTTTATTTAGAGTAATTTATAGTAATTTTTATTAAATGACTGCAATTATTTGTCATGTGTGGCCCTCACGACAACACAAATGTGACCCATATAGTCCTTGAGGGACCCGCAGTTTGACATGCCTGCTCTAGAGGACATGTGAGTGGTAGATATATGTCGTTAGTCTTTGCTGGAATGTGTAACCTAAGGTACAGTAATTAAACAAAAATTCTGATAATTGCTTCCAGCTTGATCATGAGTTCGTTGCGAAAGGATACATTATGAAGAAAGGAAGAATAAAAGTAACAGTTTTCAAAATGTATAAGGTAAGCCAAACAATTAAAATTAAGCATTTAGGCCTATACTAAAATGAAATGTTTAGTGCGTCCTTGAAAATCTGAATCATATTGTTCCTGTCCCAGTCAGACTTTTCAAAATAATCGTGCACAGAGAAATCCCATTATCGTGATATATTAATGAACAAATTGACAGGAGCCGTAATGAGGGTTCGAAGACTGCCCCAAGACATGATCATTCTTTTGACCATGTCGTGGTGCAGTCGACTAGAGCATGCCTGGGAACAACCAGTGCATAGGTTCGAACCCTCATCAAAGCTCCTGTGGATTTGTTCAAAATAATAATAATTTGTCCACATTTAAAATGATGATTATATACAAAAAATATGTAACTAAATTGTTCACTTACCTCTTTATAGCAGAGGCTAGTCTCAATAACCCAGAGACAGCAATATACTCTTATAATGCCTTGATATACAGTAATGTAAACTTTTGCAGTCACCCTGAGCTAGCCTTGAATAGTCAATGCCCATGCTTTATGCCATTCTTTCGGGCTACAATACTGCCTGAAAGAATGGTATATACCCTTATGCACCTGCCCTCAAAATACCCTTGTTTATCTTCCATCGATATACCCATATCCACCTTCCATTGAAATACCCTTATACACCTTCCATTGAAATACCCTTATACACCTTCCATTGAAATACCCTTATACACCTTCCATTGAAATACCCATATCCACCTTCCATTGAAATACCCATATCCACCTTCCATTGAAATACCCTTATACACCTTCCATTGAAATACCCTTATACACCTTCCATTTAAATACCCTTATACACTCTTCTACAGAAATACCTTTATACACATTCCATTGAAATACCCTTATACACCTTCCATTGAAATACCCTTATACACCTTCCATTGAAATACCCTTATACACCTTCCATTGAAATACCCATATCCACCTTCCATTGAAATACCCTTATACACCTTCCATTGAAATACCCTTATACACTCTTCTACAGAAATACCTTTATACACCTTCCATTGAAATACCCTTATACACCTTCCATTGAAATACCCTTATACACCTTCCATTGAAATACCCATATCCACCTTCCATTGAAATACCCTTATACACCTTCCATTGAAATACCCTTATACACTCTTCTACAGAAATACCTTTATACACATTCCATTGAAATACCCTTATATACACATTCCATTGAAATACCTCTATACACTTTTATCAAAATACCCTCGTCCACCTTGTATCAAAATAACCTTGTCCACCTTCATCTTCAAGAATTTAGTCTTCACTCTCCTCCTCCCTGGTAAGTCTTGTTTTTCTTCCTATGATCTGTGGCTAGTTAGATACAGTGAGCCACGGTTTGGCTCCTCCAGCAATGAATGCAATGAACCAGCAATGAATGCAATGAAATGCATCTTTCTGGTTGGGCTTCAGTGGGTCCCTGATCCCTCTTTCCCTTCCAGGTTCACTGTTGGATTATTTTCTCACCTCTGGAGTGAGCTCTGTTGACATGGGGGAGGGGGGGAGGAGGGGAATTGGTGGTCTTGCCACCTGGCAGTGACTATCTGTAACTTTAACCTGACTACTGGATGAATGGTTTGTGGAGGCATTTGCTGCTTTGTCTCTTTTTATCTCTGTAAACCTTGCAGGAGGATGGTAGAGCGACAGTCTTGCTTCATGCAGGTCGGTGTTCAATTCCTGACTGTTAAGTGGTTGGGCACCAATCCTCTTCCCCGTCCCATCCCAAATCCTCATCCTGACCCCTTCTAAGTGCTATACTATAGTCCTAATGGCTTGGCACTTTTCCCTAATAATTCCCTTCCCCATGCAGTTGCTAGTTTTGCCATGCTCACTTAATGGATGTTTCCTTGGGCAGGGAAATCAATTCCCCCTGCTTGCTGAACTTCAGTGAGGGAGGGGGGTCAGGTTCTGGCTCTGGGGCCAGATTCACGAAGCAGTTATGCAAGCACTTACGAACTTGTACATCTTTTCTCAATCTTTGGCGGCTTTGTTTACAATTATTAAACAGTTAATGAGCTGCAAAGCACCAAGAGGCTGTTTATAACAATAAAAACAGTTGATTGGGAAGTTTTCATGCTTGTAAACTATTTAATAAATGTAACTAAAGCCGTCAAATATTTAGGAAAGATGTACACATTCGTAAGTACTTGTGTAACTGCTTCATGAATCTGGCCCCCGGTCTCAAGTTGGCCATTAAGAACTCCTAAGGCTGATGTGATTCATGTGTATAGCAAACTCGGTGAAGTAGCTATGGGAAGCCACTGAGGCCCAACCAAAAAGCAGCATTTTGTTTCATCCAGTGCTGTTTTTGTTTTCTCTGGTTAGGACACTTAAATCATCTCAAAATAAGATATCAAAAATATAAAAATAAGATCTCAAGATAAGATAATTAGCTCTAATTCTTCTGCAGCAATCTTTGGATCATGTAATGGAATTCTTGTCCCTCCTCACTTTTGAGCTTTTCCCCTTCAGTTCAGGATTCCTTTTATAAGGTGACTTTCTCCAGGCACTTTCTTCCATGTGTCAGGATTGGGAGCTTAATGTTCTTTGCCAGGAGCATGGTTTTTTTTTTTTGGCCAGGGGGTTCATTTTGTTTGTCTACAGCATTCTCCATCATTTTTAGCTAAGAATGAGACTTATGCTTCTTGTGTAGTTCTTTGGTCAATAATGCTTGACTTATTTAGCTATGGGGGTGTATCATATGCTCTGTTATGTGAATGTTTTGTGGAGTTATTTGTGGACTTCTCATGATGTAGAGGGGTCAAGGCCTTCTTTGTCGACTTTATATCGTATGTTCCTTGCTGCACATCCTGGCTTTTATAGGTGGTTTGGTTCAGCCAGCTGGCTGTGTATTCTTGCTCTCATGATTTGAGAATGTTTTTCTTTATGGCTTTCTTTGCCAATGTATAAATGGCTAATACTCTGAGCTTGAGCTTCTGGTAATCCAACAGGATGTTGACATAGCATTATTTATTGGATGTCCCTCAGCCTTGACACTTGGTATGCAGCTGACATTCTTCCCTCCAAGGCCCTTTTCTCTAGCTGTTCTTCTCCCATGCATAAGCCCAGTCTGTTTTTACTAAACCTTTTCCTTCCCAGAACAGCCAGACTCCTCTACTATGGTTTCATCATGAGTAAGCTTGAGGAGCTACTGAAAAGTCTCTGGTGTGCCTTCAGTAGCTCCCCCTCCCTGCTCTGTTTCCTGATTTTCTCTGAGTTGCAGGCTGCTTTAGACTCTGGGTAACCTGGACTGAAATCTGGTGGTTGTCGTGCATGTCATAGTTAAGGTATTTACCCAGTGGCAATCGTTTGCTTTGGGATACTCGGTTTCTTTCAAGGACTCTCTTGCTTTATTTTGCTTATGTGTGTTGCATTTTTCTTGGTTTAGAGTGTATCTCTGATCCTCAAGCTCTCCTTGAAATGTAGAGTGAACCAGATTCTGGTTTTGACATTTAGAAATTAATAATGGGTGTTACAATGAGACCCATTATTAATTACCTGGTGTGATTATCTAAGGCTTGGTGGTACCGGCATATATGCTCATGGAGCTACTGGCCCCCCCCCAGAAAAATGCATTTCATTACAGTCAATGCTTGGTTATTTTTCCCTCCCCCCTTCCCTGCTCTAAAATCTTCCTTCAGTCCCAGGAAAGCAGTCTATTTACTTGCTAATATTGAACATGTTTATTTCTATAGAAACAAAAATAATACTGTACACTATTTTCTTACAGATTGGCACTGGAATGACAAAAGATAACCTTGAACCGATGACAATGTCACACTTGGTAGAATTAAGTGTACTTACCACCAAGACAGACATGTCAGTTGCTGATGAATTGCGAGCCTTGGCTGACCAACTTAAGCCACTTGTACAACTAGAGAGATTGGACTATCGAAGACTTGGGCCACCATAAAAGGCTTTCGGGCCACTGTAATAAGTGAAGATGACTACTTTATATATGAACTGAACTGTATGTATTGGTAAGAATTGTGTTACAGTTTATGAACACCTATTTTATTTTTTTGTTAAGAAAAACACTGAGATGTGTAGCCAAATAATAAAATTAAAGGGGGATATGAACATTGGATTTATTGTTAATAAACTTTTGCAAATTATTGTTCGATTATTTATCCCTTAAAATAATTATATGGTTGAAGGATTGGCTTCATTATGGTTCTCTGTTCTGAATGGTGCATTGTTAAGACATTAATAAAGCACAAGCTCAAATAAATTATTGCAGTTGTTGGTTATGTAATCTGCCATAAAGAACCTCAAATATTGGGCCTTTATGGTTGCTTTAATGTAAATTGTCATCAGTGGATGATGTCAGACCAGTGTTAAAGCAGCCAAAAATGCCACTAGGATATATTTCCCTCCTAAATTTACCTTTGTAATAAAAATAGTTATACTGTATATGCCAAAATAATAAAATGCAATCAATCAACTGTTACAACACAACTGTGCGAAAGAGAGAGAGAGAGAGAGAGAGAAAGAGAGAGCGAGAGAGAGCAAGAGCACATTGGAGGTGTATGAGCATGCTGGAGGTAATTACCTAAGGTGAAAAAAAACAGTGTTGAATGTAATGAAACACCAATTTTTGGGTGAGCTCCAGTGGCTCCATGAAGCTACATTGCTGACATGGCTACTATTTACTGGGTCACATTTGCCATAGAGTTCTAGAGGCCTACCAGGGACCAGAACCAAGCCCCCCCTCACAGAGGAGCAAGGAGTGACCACCACCATGGAAGGCAGCCAGGATGTCAGCGAGTCAAAACAAACTACAGTACTGCTGGATTCAAAAGAGACTGAAGCCTCAAAACCTGCCGAAAGAACTCTTCCCAACTCTGTTAACAAATAAACCCGTTCTCAGATCAAGTCCATTTCATCCAGCAGTTGACCTCAAAGACACATTTATCAATTTTAACATGCTGTTTATTCAAAATAGGAATTTTCTCATAAATTAATAGTGTTATATATTAGCATACTGAACATATTTAGGTATTGGTTAGGTTAGATTGTGTGTTTAGGTTCTGTTGGTGATTATTTGTATTTGTAGTACAGTACTCGGGTGAAGTATTTACACTGTAAATGCTGTAAATTTTACAGCGTTGTGGTTCGAACAAGTCGTCAGCAAAACTATTGTTTGAGAAGTGTTTAAACGTCATCAGTTGTGAGTCGTGGCTTTTCATTTATAAACGGGGTTTGGCGGGTGCATGGAATGGACTGTGGCCTTTGTTTATGAGGAGGAATTCTAACAAATAATCAAATTCTCTCGGAACTGGTACAAACTCGTTTGAGAAGAGGGGGCAGTACCTCTTTACCTGCTGGGGCCTGAGCTCCCTGTTCTAGTACTGATGTAGAAGTTACCGGGTCGTCTGTCTTCCGTACTGGCTCTAGTGTTCTGTTATTCAGCTAAGTAGTATGGCGTGTGCCTTTGGTAGCTTTTCCTTACACTGTGGTGTAGCGTGAGCCAGGGTTTAGTGGTCTTGCAGCTGCAAATTCAGGGTATCCTTCTCAGGGTGCTCCCTAGTGCTGTCCTTGCACTGACAATTCTCTTCTCTAGCGTGTTTGTTGTTGTTGTTATAGAGCCAGCTACTCTGAACAAGTTCCAAGTAGCACGGGCTATGGTGAGCCCGTAGTGAACTTACCTGGCACAGGAGCGGTGCCGTCTGGTGGCATGTTTGGGGGGTTACTCAAGAAGTCCTATTTGCTTGAGGTGCCCCTCGCCTTGGGCAAGTTGAGGGCTCTTGGTCCCACTGTTTTCGTCTTTGATCCAGTCGGGAGTGATGTTGGCTGGTGGGGTGCACTAGTGCTTTGCATGTTAAACAAATATGTAAAGGACACATCGAACACTTTTATGTAGGGCAGACGTAACTCTGTGTATCTATGTATTTATATCTGTAGGTTAGATTAGCATTTTAAAAGCACTACAATCACCTTCTGTGGTTGACTGTTCAATAAATCCATGAACTATATGTTTAACAGATCTCTAACCCTGTCCACGGAGGACAGAAGAAAATGTATATATGCTGGTTAGCATTGTAAATGTCTGGCCACGTCTGTGGTAGAAAATAATAATAATAATAAAACAAACTTAGGGAAGGGTTGACTTAAATGCTTGCAGCTCTAGGTTAAGAAAAGACAGACGTCCACGTAACAAATGAGGCTTGAAACACAATTGTGAAGCAAATATTAAAACAGAAACGATATGCGAGCAAAATACTCGCTTTCCCTTCTACCCCCAAATGGACGACAAAGATGGACGACATTTCACTTAAAAAATGAGGTGGAGCTCACTAAAACTGACGTCTGGGAGAGATCCTCTTTTGAGGACGTCATCGGCAGGATTGAAGTTATGATGACTTATTGGTGCTGCCACCAGTTGGCGGCCAGCCATAATTATGGGTGGCCTGATGGGCGGTTTGGGGGGCCCAGTTGGCGGGTTCGCCCTAGTTTCTGAGTGAATTTGGGTTGGACGGTAGAGCGACGGTCTCGCTTCATGCAGGTCGGCGTTCAATCCCCGACCGTCCAAGTGCTTGGGCACCCCTGCCCCCCATCCATGTCTCATCCCAAATCCTTATCCCGAACTCTTCCCAGTGCTATATAGTCGTAATGGCTTGGCGCACTGGCTGCTCGTGGGACGAGTTCTTCACCGACTGAGTGGCTTTGCAGACTTCGGAGTGAATTATTTGTGGAGTCGTTTGGCTGTTTCAGTGCTGTGCTTTCTATGATTGGGGGGCTGACGGCTGAGTGGACAGCGCTCGGGGTTCGTAGTCCTAAGGGTCCAGGTGCGATCTCCGGCGGAACGCGGAAACAAATGGGGCAGAGATTATTTCACCCTGATGCACCTGTTCATCTAGCAGTAAATAGGTGCCTGGGAGTTAGACAGCTGCTACGGGCTTCTTCCTGGAGATGTGTGTGTGTGTGTGTGTGTGTGTGTGTGTGTGTGTGTGTGTGTGTGTGTGTGTGTGTGTGTGTGTGTGTGTGTGTGAAAATTAGGATTAAGGACTTGCCCGAAACACTATGCGTGCTAATGGCTGTACAAGAATGCAAGAACTCTTGTATATAAATAAAAATAAAATGATGCTTGTAGTTGTCTGACTTCACTTACCGCTCGACGGTTCACAAAGTTAAAAGAAACAATGAAGTATGCAAAGATATTTGTTGAGATACAGTGCACCAAACGGAGACTAGTGATAAGACTGTGCCACTGACAACTAAGACAGATCATGTAACTGTAAATGACAATGAAATGACAAACATTGTATACAAGTTCACCGTCATTGTATTTACAAGAGAAAAAATACTACGCCTGCAGCGGAACAAATCTATGTAGATGGCGAAGATAACTAATCAACCAGTTATTTATTAGGAGGGAAACACGTCATTGATGGTCCTCCCTTCATGGCGGGTCAAAACAGACTGCCTACCTTCTCCACCGTTTCCAGGAACTGCTCTTAAATTGTCATTCCACCTGTCATTATAGTCTGTCGTCGCTTGGAATGGCTGGGAGGTGACTGGAACTATCGGAGAAAGGGCTGGAAGGTGTAGGAGCATCCTGGAACAGTAAGGATGTCTGCTGGAATGGCATGGAGAAGTGATAGAAAATGGGATGAAGCTATGGAATGGGAAATGGGATGAAACTGGGTTCGTATCCTGGCCGGGGAGGATTTAATAGGTGCAAAACCTTAACTGTAGCCCCTGTTTACCCAACAGTAAAATGGGTACCTGGTTGTTAAACGATTTGGCGGGTCGTATTCCGGGGAACATAGGATTAAAGACTTGCCCGAAACGCTATGGGTGCTAATGGCTGTACAAGAATGTAACAACTCTTGTATATATAATAAAAAAATAAATGGAATAATAGGGAAGGTGAAGGGTGGACCTGGAAATGGAAAAGATGTGTCTAAAAAAGAACATTCTTGAATGGTAGGAGAACTTAAGATATTTCGATTAAGAACTTAAGAAGGATTTGAATAATTCCTTCAAGTTCTCCAAACATTCAAGAAATGTCTTCTTTAATCCTTGAAATCATTAGGAATTTCTGGAATAATAAGGAATCTCAAATGCCTTGAGTCGGACGAGTGTTTCTGTAATGGCAAGATCAATTAAAAAAATGTAATGATAAAGAGATCTTCCAATAGTAAGAGGATTCTCTGGAATAATATTTGAGTGGTCAGAATGACCAAGAAGTGACTGGACCAGTGAGGTATAATGACTGGACCTGTGAGTGGACCAGAGAGCTACAGTGACTGAACCTGTGAGTGGACCAGAGAGCTACAGTGACTGAACCTGTGAGTGGACCAGTGAGGTATAGTGACTGGACCTGTGAGGTATAGTGACTGGACCTGTGAGGTATAGTGACTGGACCTGTGAGTGGACCAGAGAGCTACAGTGACTGGACCTGTGAGTGGACCAGAGAGCTACAGTGACTGAACCTGTGAGTGGACCAGAGAGCTACAGTGACTGAACCTGTGAATGGACCAGAGAGCTACAGTGACTGAACCTGTGAGTGGACCAGAGAGGTACAGTAACTAGACCTGTGAGTGGACCAGAGAGGTACAGTTACTGGACCAAAGTTGTACAGTGACTGGGTGAGTAAAGTAGTGGTTACGATGTCTTGACTAAACAGACGCTAAGGAGTTGGGAGCCACACCTGGCCTTATGATAACTGATGGTCCATCGAATATGGTCTCTGGAGAGACTGGTGGCCGTGTTCTGAAACTAAAATGATGACAACTTGTCCAGTTAGTGGCAATGCGTTCACAACGAAGGTGGAAGCTGTAACCGGAAGAAATGCTCATTAACCTGAACGTCTGGAAGGAGAAGACGACCATGTAACGTCTTGAAGGTGTCTGAAACAAGACGCTGGTCGCTGAAACTGCCGCCCATTTACCGGAAGGGCTCGTTGGTGTCTGAAACGAGAGGGTGGTCGCTGAAACTGCCGCTCATTTACCGGAAGGGCTCGTTGGTGTCTGAAACGAGAGGGTGGTCGCTGGAATAGCCGGGTGGTGGATGGAATTGTCTCTGGAGACGGCTGAGGGCCCCGTGCCTGCAGGCACTTGATGACGCTCTCAGGAACAATTAGTTGCGCCAGGAGCTGCTGGAGACACGC